CTTGATAAGTTATAGATTATTATTTTCATATCTTACATCATCCTAGGTCACCCCTCACCCATGTTTCCTTTATTCGTCCCCCTGGGAAGGGGTTCTAGTTTGATCCTTGTGATCTAGTTCCCATTTCTCCCCCCACCCTCCCCTAATCCTCCTGGTATCTCTACTTGTTGGCCCTAAGAGGTTATGTATCCTGGATTCTCTGTGTTGCGGGCTCTTATCCGTAGCAGTGTGCATGTTCTGGACTAATCTGATTTGTAAGGTAGAATTGAGGTCTTGATAGTGGAGGGAAAGAAGCACCAAAGAACTAGAGGAAGATTGTGTGCTTCATCAGTGCTATACTGCACCCTAGCTGGTTCATCTCTTCTCTGTGACCCCTCTGTTAGGGGATGTCCAATTGACTACAAATGGGTTTTGGGTCTCCATTCCACACACCCCCTCATTCACAATAATATGATTTTTTTGTTCTTCTTTGATGCCTGATACATGATCCTATGGACACCTCATGATCACACAGGATGGTGTGCTTCTTCCATGTGGGCTTTGTTGCTTCTCAGTTAGATGACAGCTTGTTTATCTTCAAGCCTTTAAGACCCCAGATGTTATATCTTTTGATAGCCAGTCACCATCATCTTTCTTCACCACATTTGCTTATGCACCCATTTTGTCTTCAGCAATTGTGTTGGGAAGGTGAACGTCACAGAATGCCAGGTTGTTAGAACAAAGTATTCTTGTGTTGAGGCAGTACTTGAGTTGAGACCCAATGTTCATCTGAAACCTTAATTCTTAACATATAGATATGAGTACATAGTTATATCCCCCTCTCGTTATCTAAATATATATATTTATATATGTACATACTTGTATTTAGATCTCTATAAATGTCCTTTGGCCTCCTGGTTCTTTCCTCTATTTCCTTTTACTTTCCTCTTGGCCCACCATCATGTTCAGCCTTCATTTGGGTTTAGTGATTCCTCGCTGCTACATTTCCCTTGATAAGCCCCGCTAGGCATCCTACGACCTTCTCCAGTCATTGTAGAAAATTTAGTCTATTCCTAACTAGAAGGCCACCAAATAAGTGACATATTTCATAAAGTGTGTTTCATTATCAATTTGAAAAGATCAGAGAAGTTCCCATTTATGCTGCACAAGAAGTTTTTTATTAAGTTTTCATTAAACATCATATTAAAAAGGTGTTATTATTTTTTCTTTCTGAGGAATCAGTGATATGCTATGAATTTCTCCTCTTTCCTCGTGTTCCTTGCAATCTCATAGAACTCCTGAGTGACTAGAATCAAAGTCTTCCTAAAAGTTTTTTACCTATATTACATTTGATATTATACAAGTTTCCCTATAGTTCTTTTGTAATTCAGTGTAAATGGGCTTTCTCTAGCTAAATTATAGCTTATGAATAAATGCTGTACTGGAAAATGCATTTGTAAATCCTTTCGTTTGCTTTCCCATCATAAATAAATCTTATCCTTATTAGTTTCTGTGCCTCAAAAGTGAAGAACTATCCTTAAAACATATGATGTTAGTTATAATGATGCCATTTTTTCTTTTATTTCCACAGATATTGCCTGAAATTTTACTTTAGTTTTGTGAAAGGTAAGAAGAATCCTATAGAAAAGGCAAATACATTAAAATACCAGAACAAAGAAAACAGTAGATAACTTATGACCACTAATCACAGGCTCATTTATCTATTCTTACGGAGAAGTCTATCAATTTTTCTTAGCAATAAGAATGTCAATGACCAGAGGCGAGCTGTGTATTCACAAAGACTTTTATCAAGACTGAGAAAACTAGTATAAGTAACATAGCCCATAAAAGTTTATTTCAGTGTTTATATAAAGTATGGTAAGCATACTGATGACTACTCTAAAGAGGAATGTAGGTTACATATATGCCAGGACAGCAAATCTTTATGGGAGTAGAAAGCCTGATCTTTCTCCCATGGAGTTGCTGGTGGTTTCAAACTGCTGACCTCTCAGTTAGTAGCCCAACTTGCAACGACTCCACTGCCAGTCTCCTTACAGCCCTACCAGGGCTCCAGGGCTTCTTATATTTAGCAAAAGGCTTGTTCAGTATAACAACAGTCATAATAAATTCAATTGGTTGCTATTCATTTATTATTTTTAAATATTTAATCATGACAATTATTGACTTAATTTTTCGTTTTTATTTTCAGCTCTGGATAATTTTTTATAAAGTTGGTAGTATGTATTAATCACTGTAGTAATAATTTCTTTTAAAAGAACTCTAGATTTGTCCCAAGGAGTTGGAGTTTAAAGATTTCCCAAGTAGTCAGCTCTTTCAAGATGCTATTCTGCTGCATTTCCCTCTCATTCTTCCTAAGAGTGTACTCTCTCACAGCCCTAGATCTGTGATTCACTGAAAATTCCCACAGAAACTCAGAAAGTAGTAAAGAAATGCCTCAATTGTTGGTATATCTTGTTTAGTCCTAAATCTGTTGGTCCGACCGAGCTAAATCTGTAGGTCAGACCGAATGCATCATCCAGAGAGAGTAGTGAAAAATGTCCAAAAATCACAGCAGGTCTTCTTGATACTACCAAAGCTCTGTCAGGAAATAGGTGCATGGTTTTACAGGTAAGGTGATATGTGTTAGAACTGTATTGGGTACCAGTATATATGCAAGGAACCCAAAGGATAGTGTCTTCAGTCACACCTTCTATGAAGGTGGGGCCCTAGATGTGAAGATGCCCCCATGGAAACAAGGTGTCGCTTGCTTCATAGTCTCTACTAAGGTCAGATCTTAATTCCAACCTAATTCTGTCCATTAGTAAAATAGAGATTGCCCTCACAGATGAGGCAATTGCCACAAGCATAGAGTCCAGAACTACAATGTATCATATAAGGAATTATGACTGAGAGCCATATTAATTAATTATAACTCAATTATTTAGCATAATTCAGTGGTACTTACACACACACACTTTGACTTTTAATTTTAAGGTAATCTTGATTTTATGTAACTATTTAATCTGTTATCAAATTAAATCATACACTTAGTAATATTTCATTGTTGGTAGAGCTAATTATTAATGTCTATTATCTTGAATTTGATAGCCCTATTCTATTATTTCTTTTTAGTTTTAATATATTATCCCATTTATCTAACCAGTTTCTTCCTCAATATTATATGAGTACAATATATGGATCCATCAGTGGTTCAAACAGTTAAGTCCTTGCACACTGACCAAAAAGTTTGAAGGTTTTAATTCAACCAAAGTACATCAGGAGAAATTATCTGGAGATCTACTTCTGAACCATCACTGGTAATAATAACCCCTGAACCAAAATTCTGTTTAGTAGCACATGCGTCCACTGTGTTAGGTGTGGTATCAACTTGGCTAGTCCAGAATTCTCAATGATTTGGTCAGTAAGACCTACTAATCCCCCATGATTTACCCTAACACAGTGTAATCAACTCTGCTGTGCCTGAATCTTGCATCTGGCTTATTAGTCTCCAGTTGCTTGGAATTGGCTAATACTCAGTCTATTGCCTACAAATTCTGGGAGCCATCAACAGCTTGCTAGTTGACCTGCCATCTGACCTGCTACCTGGGACTTAATGGGCTCTGCAACCACAAGCCTGGTCTGCAGAGCTTGAATTCATCCACCTCTCCTCTCTTCATGCTTTGTTTTCCTGCTTCCCAGTTCCTCAGCGCTTTCAGTTACACAATCAGGAATATCCTGCAGTGTAACATTTAACCTATGGACTTGAACCAGACTGGATTTACCCAAATCTTCAAATTTTGTGAGACATTGTCTTGGTATAAATTTATCTGTTCATATTTATTGATATATGGAGAAAGAAAATTCACACACACGTACCCATACACACTCATTATTGGTGCCGCTCCTATAGAGAACCTAGACTAACTAACAATCACCATGAGTCAGAATCAACTCAAAGGTAACTTTGTATTTGTTTGTTTTCTTATATGCATAACATATGAAAAATATGTAGGAAACATGTAGGACATTTATTGCAAATTTTATACTCCATATAGAAATTTAACTTTTATAATTGACTATGTGAGGACATTTATAAATATAAAATCAATTTATTTCATTCTGATATTTAGTGAATTCATTTTGGAGGTGCATGCTAGTGGGAATTTATCTGCTTCTCATTTATCTTTCTATAATTTTGGTCTTTGGAATATCAACAAAATACTAGATAATTTTCAAAACTCATCTTGAGGCAGATTGTAAACTCTCACATTTAGCTTTTTTAGTTTTTCAAATTTTGCAAGGTCTCTGGTATTTCCATGACCACTTTCAGAAACAGCAGTCTCCTTCGAAAGGAAAAGCAACATATACGTCAAACTCATCCCACTGCATCCTTTCGACCTTGTACCTACACACTTCTATCTAGATGTTTTCCACAAAATTGTCTTGAAACACATAGGATATTTTGCCATCAATTCTTGTCTTACTCTGAATTATAGAATATAAGAGAGAAGCTCTCAACATGAAAGCAAAAGAAAAATCACAAAGTTACGAAGTGCAATAAAATATCAAACAAAATATTAAAATATTCCTCAGGGATATGGCCTTGTACCATAGAAACATAAGGCTTTTTTTTTTTAAAGGAAGTTCAAATTTATTTGATGACACAGCTACCAAGGCCTTCATGATTGCAGGGCTCGCTACTTGTATAAGGGGCCACGGTTAGGGATGTATTTCACTCAGCAGGCATCCAGAATGAGGCACTTCCCAGCCACCATGCCATCATGCCCTCAAACTCATCTGCATTAAACTTGGTGAAGCCCCACTTCTTGCAGAGGTGGATCTGCTGGAGCTGAGGGAACTTGAACTTGGCCCCACATAAGGCCTCAATCATGTGCTCCATGTTTTGAAACTTGGTGCACATGGACATGATGACCTCCCAATGTGGACTCTAGCCACAGTGCCTTGGGGTTTCTCAAAGCACCTCACACCCCAGCTTGGAGTCTAGGTTAGGGAGAGCAGAAATTAGCCAGGCCAGAGCCCTGGGGCCATCTACACACACCTACAGGCTGCATAAACACCTAGGAGGCTGGCTGTGTGCAGACATTGCACACCGGCCCCCACAAGGAGGAGGAGAGTTGTCTTAAGTGGCTGCAGAAGGATTTATTTTAAAATCATAATATTTAGAAAACATAAACCTTCTCACCATGGATAAAATAATATAAATGCTTAAAGAAATGATAATAAAAGTTTTAAAAATTAAATAGATAGAAATGAATATAATATAAAAACCAATGAATAGTTTAAGGGGAAATGCAACAAATATGTTGTGATTATTTTGAGGTGCTATAAAGTTGGTTCTGACCCATAGTGGCACGGTAGAGCAAAGCAAAAAATGTCCAGTCCTGCACCATCATCATAACTGGTGTGATGTTTGAACCCATCGTTGCAACCACTGTACCAGTCCACCTTGCCAAGAGCTTTCTTCTTGTTCCCTGCCACAGTCCACTTCCAAGCATGATGTCCTTTTGCAGGGACTGCTTTCCCCTGATGTTATGCTCAAAGCAAGTGTCTACCACGTTGGCTTCTAAGGAGTATTAAAGCTGTTCTTTTCCTAGACATTTTGTCTGTTTTTTGGCAGTTTATGGTGCTTTTGATATTCTTTACCAGCACTATAATTCAAGTGCATCAATTCTTTAGCTTCCTTTTCTTTATAAAAATTTTTCTATTTTTTAAATTTTTTCAGTCTTCCTTTTCAATGTTCAACTTTCACATGCATAAGAGGCTTTTGAAAAGGTGAGTCAAACTTACGCTAATGTTCAAAGTAATACGATTGCTTTTCAACACCTAAATGAGGTTTTGTGCAGCAGATTTACCCAATCCAATCCACTATGTGATCTCTTGGCTACTGCTTTCATGAACATTAATTATGGGTCTAATCAAATCATGGACAACTTCAATCTCTTCAGTTAGCATTGTGATAGTCTGGGTAGACCAGAGAAACAAATCCATAGACACTCATATGTGTATAAGAAAGAGCTTTATATATAAGAGCAGTTGAATTTTGAGAAAACCTAGCCCAGTCCAGATCAAGTCCATAAATCCAATATTAGCCCATATGTCCGATATCAATCTATAAAGTCTTCTTCAGACTCACAAAACACATGTAATGATGACAAAGGCAGGACAATCACATGCCAGTAGGTGCAAAGTCTTGTGGATCCAGTGGCAGTAGAAGCATCTCAGTGCTGGCAGGGGTCTCCACATGGCTCATCCAGTTCCCAGGGCACAGGGTATCTCAGTGTAGTCCCATGAGTCTTGTCAGTACAGTGTCTATTAGGGAGTGAGCCTTGAGTCTTATCGGTAGAAAGTCTCCAAGTGAGTGAGCTGAAAGATAGTGTCTCCTTTCTCCAAGGAGGAAAAACAGGAGCTCCCAGAATTCTCAGGAGAAGGCCATGTCCACACAGAGGCCTCATTGACTATGATCTGATTGACAGACTAGACTCCACCTCTTCATTCTTAATCCTCTCAAGTTCCCAATTGACACCAGATTATGTAACTACCACAATCATGATGTTGCCGATTGGTTGAGGTGTGAACATTTTGTTTCTGGTTTTGCACTGGATTTCAGTTCATACTGAAAGCTGCGATCCTTGATCTTCATCAGCAAGTGCTTCAAGTCCCTCAGTTAAGATTGTATCATCTGCATATTACAGATTCTTAATGAGCCTTCCTCCAATTCTGATTGGGCAGTCTTCTTCACATAATCCAGTTTCTCGGATCATTTGCTCAGCATAAACATTGCATAAGTATGGTGAGAGAATGCAACCAAGAGTCATGCCTAGTGGTGGTATTCAAATAATTTAACAATTAGTTCTCTATCCTAATGAATATTTTTAGTATAAAAAAAGATAAACCAAAAGGCAGTCTATTGTTTTATACAGTTAACACTTAATAAGATCAAGAAAAGAGGTACACAAAACTATATTATATTATGAGAAATAATTTTAAAATATTAATGGAAAAAATATTAAACAATACTTGTCAGAAAACAATAAGACGGTTATTTAGGGTTTTCCCATATTTGTTTACTCACTTGCAATATTATTTGCTTTTATACAAGCTTAATCAACTGTGTGATGTATCATAACCACTTTTTCACTGTAGTAGTAGGATCCCATTCCTTTAGAGGTAGGCCAATTAGACAAGAGACATTGTGGTTGCTATATTGGAAACGGGTGACTTCTCTTCTCTGAACATACTATGTTCATCTTTGAGAAACCCCTTTCCACTTCTGCTCAACTCACAGAAATTTTTCAGACAATACTTTTAGCTCTTTGAACACTTTCAGGAATTCCGTAATTAATTCATAATATCTCATGGGAAATTGCAGCATAATACAATTCAAATGACAGCTTGTCACCCTCTGGTTGTTAGGTACTTTCTTTCTTACATTATATATTTGTTTGCTGAAATAACAAACCATAGAGGAAAAATGTAATATTTCATCAAATATATGAGTTTTATGAAATGAATAAATACATATTATAAGCATGGTTCTGTATAATTTTTATTCCCATGGGTGGAAGGAACATCACTACAGGTGCTTAGAGAGAACATCAATCACAAGTGCCATTTTAACAATTAGTTTGCCGATCTCAACAAAATAATTAGGTACTGGTATCTGCTAAATCTATGTGGACTGGCTGAATACTACCACTGGTCATGCTTCATCAGCAATTGAATGTCCTAAAGGCATTGAGCTGTTGATGTCATTATGGTTGCCTCTAATTTTAAAAGGCAGCTCTTTCTTAGCAAGTGTAACAATTAATAAGCATTCAAAAAATGTGAGAAATACAGGATGAGCATGAAAATTAAGAAAAAATAAGTACATTTTCCAAAATTAAATAAGTAGAAAAAGTTCATTGAATTGTACTCTGCAAAACAAACAAAACAGAATCTAAAAATGCATTATCACCCTAAAAAATGGGATTTTAGAGAAATTAAGATGTGTTTAAAGATCAAGCAAAAGAGCTAAAAGGAAGAATGTGTAAGATTTTCAGTAGTAAAAATATAAGAATGTTAAGAAATGAGGAAAAAAACCTGAGAGAAATGCGACGTATGACCATGTGTTTAAATAAATTAACAGACAAAAATAGAGACAGAATTACTTCATCATGAGAATGAGACATTCCAGCTTTGTAAAAAAATATCTCATATACAGATATATTTTAAGTGTTACTTATGAGGAAAACAAAAGCTAACCATGAATGAGAGAAGCACGACTTCAACTAACAAAATTCAAACAGAAATATAAATGAAATTCAGGTAAATTATAAATGTAAGTAATATAAAGGCTGAGAAACACACTTCCAGGAAATGATTTGTAAAGCAGCCTTTGCTGAACCCCAAAAGATAAAGATATAGAAAATAATATACCGATATACTCAAGTATAAGCCTACCCAAATATAAGCTGAGGCACCTAATTTTACCACAAAAACTGCATTAAAACGTGCTGAGAAATTCGGCTTATACATGAGTATATACAGTAATTAAGAAAGTAGAGTAGAATTCATAAACACAAGATATGCTGCCTCTCAATGACAAGTTATTACATTAATGTAAACCAATTTCTTATTACTAATAGCTAAATGTTGAGTCGTAAATCTAAGATATGTGTACTCTCCAATGTTCACCTTGCTGTTTAAGCCCAATAAATCATTGAAGAACATTTAAGTATTATATATATGAAAGAGGAAGATAACAATGGAGGGAAAGTACAACTTTAGAGCTAGAAGATGAAAATAATAAAGGAAATACATTGGAATTATGGAAACTACACATATGCAGAATTTCAAAATGAATGATGAGTTAAGTATCAATCACAATACCAAAGGGTAGATTGCCAGTGCTATAGAATGCTATGGGCTATGTCAAGATGGTGATTTGTGTGTGTGTGTCTGTGTGTGTGTGGGAGGGAGTGCAAGAAGAATCATCTTTCTTTTTTCAAAAACATATATTCAAAAAATTGCAAGGACATGATGTATTACGAATATATAAATGAAATCAAATATGTTTTTGTTATTTGTGGAGGTAATAGTAATGCATTTTGAATTATTCAATAATATATATTATTATAAATTATAGGATTAGCCAGGTATTTTGATATCTAATCCATTAAAACTATATTGTGTGAAACACTGGAATGATTCATTAATACCATTGCTATTGTTTACTAGTGCATTCATAAATGTAATTGCAATCCTAATTTCTTGATAAATTACATGGTACAAAATAAAATACCATTCAGTTCAGAGGTGATTAAAAATGATTAATCTTCTGGAAATTCAAAATATTTAATCATTTAGAAATATGAAAAGGGATGTGAAAGCATATTTTCTAATATGAAGGCAATAATTTTAAGCCATATGTAATGAGGATTGCTAAGGGGAATTGTTACACAAAAGTATACTAGTTCTACTCCCACAGAACTCGTTGACTAGTTCTATTCCCATTAGGAGTTACAGTCTTGGAAACCACACTACCCTGTCCTGTAGGGTCGCTATGTGTCAACACAGACTGGACGGCAGTGAGTTTGATTTTGATTTGGAGTGTTTGTTATGTATAGGGTCACTACAAATCAGAATTTATTCGATGGCACCTAAGAACAACAACACCCCCTAAATCCAATGGGTAGGAATCATTTTCTAGCTTAAAATAGAAGAGTATAAACTTCTTTTATTTTAAGAAAAGCAAAATACACAGGTACATGCAGAAATTGAACTACTGGAGTTTGTATTTTGGATGTACAACAAAATGTGCCTGAATGGCATTTTGTTATACTTACAAATGATTAATTATTAATTTAAATTAAATTTAATATTACATTTTAGTTTAATTTTAGGCCTTCAGTTGTAACTAATAAAATGGGGAAATGGAAGATAGGTGCCTCAACTATTCTATCTTACAGATAAGAAGCCATGTTTAATGTTCAGCTTAATCTTATTTTCAGCTACCATCCAGGTATAATTGATTAAGGGTCTGAGATGAATTGATTGAAAATAAGTGTGCTGCTGAGGCCAATTAATATAGAGAAATATTAATTACAAGAGAAAAGGGGATAAGACCTGGGTAGTGGGGGAACAGGGCACTAACC